AAACTCGACTCATTTCATGGAACGAGCGCTTCAGGCACGCATGGCAGGCTCTTCAGACGGCAACGCGTGTTTTTTTAGAATTCTCAAAAAACAGGCGCGCACGCATGGCAGGCTCTTCAGACGGCAGCGTGAAATGAGTCGAGTTTTGAGTCGACTCAAAACTCGACTCATTTCATGGAACGAGCGCTTCAGGCACGCATGGCAGGCTCTTCAGACGGCAGCGCGTGTTTTTTTAGAATTCTCAAAAAACAGGCGCGCACGCATGGCAGGCTCTTCAGACGGCAGCGTGAAATGAGTCGAGTTTTGAGTCGACTCAAAACTCGACTCATTTCATGGAACGAGCGCTTCAGGCACGCATGGCAGGCTCTTCAGACGGCAGCGCGTGTTTTTTTAGAATTCTCAAAAAACAGGCGCGCACGCATGGCAGGCTCTTCAGACGGCAGCGTGAAATGAGTCGAGTTTTGAGTCGACTCAAAACTCGACTCATTTCATGGAACGAGCGCTTCAGGCACGCATGGCAGGCTCTTCAGACGCCAGCGCGTGTTTTTTTTAGAATTCTCAAAAAACAGGCACGCACGCATGGCAGGCTCTTCAGACGGCAGCGTGAAATGAGTCGAGTTTTGAGTCGACTCAAAACTCGACTCATTTCATGGAACGAGCGCTTCAGGCACGCATGGCAGGCTCTTCAGACGGCAGCGCGTGTTTTTTTAGAATTCTCAAAAAACAGGCGCGCACGCATGGCAGGCTCTTCAGACGGCAGCGTGAAATGAGTCGAGTTTTGAGTCGACTCAAAACTCGACTCATTTCATGGAACGAGCGCTTCAGGCACGCATGGCAGGCTCTTCAGACGGCAGCGCGTGTTTTTTTAGAATTCTCAAAAAACAGGCGCGCACGCATGGCAGGCTCTTCAGACGGCAGCGTGAAATGAGTCGAGTTTTGAGTCGACTCAAAACTCGACTCATTTCATGGAACGAGCGCTTCAGGCACGCATGGCAGGCTCTTCAGACGCCAGCGCGTGTTTTTTTAGAATTCTCAAAAAACAGGCACGCACGCATGGCAGGCTCTTCTGACGGCAGCGTGAAATGAGTCGAGTTTTGAGTCGACTCAAAACTCGACTCATTTCATGGAACGAGCGCTTCAGGCACGCATGGCAGGCTCTTCAGACGGCAGCGCGTGTTTTTTTAGAATTCTCAAAAAACAGGCGCGCACGCATGGCAGGCTCTTCAGACGGCAGCGTGAAATGAGTCGAGTTTTGAGTCGACTCAAAACTCGACTCATTTCATGGAACGAGCGCTTCAGGCACGCATGGCAGGCTCTTCAGACGGCAGCGCGTGTTTTTTTAGAATTCTCAAAAAACAGGCGCGCACGCATGGCAGGCTCTTCAGACGGCAGCGTGAAATGAGTCGAGTTTTGAGTCGACTCAAAACTCGACTCATTTCATGGAACGAGCGCTTCAGGCACGCATGGCAGGCTCTTCAGACGGCAGCGCGTGTTTTTTTAGAATTCTCAAAAAACAGGCGCGCACGCATGGCAGGCTCTTCAGACGGCAGCGTGAAATGAGTCGAGTTTTGAGTCGACTCAAAACTCGACTCATTTCATGGAACGAGCGCTTCAGGCACGCATGGCAGGCTCTTCAGACGGCAGCGCGTGTTTTTTTAGAATTCTCAAAAAACAGGCGCGCACGCATGGCAGGCTCTTCAGACGGCAGCGTGAAATGAGTCGAGTTTTGAGTCGACTCAAAACTCGACTCATTTCATGGAACGAGCGCTTCAGGCACGCATGGCAGGCTCTTCAGACGGCAGCGCGTGTTTTTTTAGAATTCTCAAAAAACAGGCGCGCACGCATGGCAGGCTCTTCAGACGGCAGCGTGAAATGAGTCGAGTTTTGAGTCGACTCAAAACTCGACTCATTTCATGGAACGAGCGCTTCAGGCACGCATGGCAGGCTCTTCAGACGCCAGCGCGTGTTTTTTTAGAATTCTCAAAAAACAGGCACGCACGCATGGCAGGCTCTTCTGACGGCAGCGTGAAATGAGTCGAGTTTTGAGTCGACTCAAAACTCGACTCATTTCATGGAACGAGCGCTTCAGGCACGCATGGCAGGCTCTTCAGACGGCAGCGCGTGTTTTTTTAGAATTCTCAAAAAACAGGCGCGCACGCATGGCAGGCTCTTCAGACGGCAGCGTGAAATGAGTCGAGTTTTGAGTCGACTCAAAACTCGACTCATTTCATGGAACGAGCGCTTCAGGCACGCATGGCAGGCTCTTCAGACGCCAGCGCGTGTTTTTTTAGAATTCTCAAAAAACAGGCGCGCACGCATGGCAGGCTCTTCAGACGGCAGCGTGAAATGAGTCGAGTTTTGAGTCGACTCAAAACTCGACTCATTTCATGGAACGAGCGCTTCAGGCACGCATGGCAGGCTCTTCAGACGGCAGCGCGTGTTTTTTTAGAATTCTCAAAAAACAGGCGCGCACGCATGGCAGGCTCTTCAGACGGCAGCGTGAAATGAGTCGAGTTTTGAGTCGACTCAAAACTCGACTCATTTCATGGAACGAGCGCTTCAGGCACGCATGGCAGGCTCTTCAGACGGCAGCGCGTGTTTTTTTAGAATTCTCAAAAAACAGGCGCGCACGCATGGCAGGCTCTTCAGACGGCAGCGTGAAATGAGTCGAGTTTTGAGTCGACTCAAAACTCGACTCATTTCATGGAACGAGAGCTTCAGGCACGCATGGCAGGCTCTTCAGACGGCAGCGCGTGTTTTTTTAGAATTCTCAAAAAACAGGCGCGCACGCATGGCAGGCTCTTCAGACGGCAGCGTGAAATGAGTCGAGTTTTGAGTCGACTCAAAACTCGACTCATTTCATGGAACGAGCGCTTCAGGCACGCACGGCAGGCTCTTCAGACGGCAGCGCGTGTTTTTTTAGAATTCTCAAAAAACAGGCGCGCACGCATGGCAGGCTCTTCAGACGGCAGCGTGAAATGAGTCGAGTTTTGAGTCGACTCAAAACTCGACTCATTTCATGGAACGAGCGCTTCAGGCACGCATGGCAGGCTCTTCAGACGGCAGCGCGTGTTTTTTTAGAATTCTCAAAAAACAGGCGCGCACGCATGGCAGGCTCTTCAGACGGCAGCGTGAAATGAGTCGAGTTTTGAGTCGACTCAAAACTCGACTCATTTCATGGAACGAGCGCTTCAGGCACGCATGGCAGGCTCTTCAGACGCCAGCGCGTGTTTTTTTAGAATTCTCAAAAAACAGGCACGCACGCATGGCAGGCTCTTCTGACGGCAGCGTGAAATGAGTCGAGTTTTGAGTCGACTCAAAACTCGACTCATTTCATGGAACGAGCGCTTCAGGCACGCATGGCAGGCTCTTCAGACGGCAGCGCGTGTTTTTTTAGAATTCTCAAAAAACAGGCGCGCACGCATGGCAGGCTCTTCAGACGGCAGCGTGAAATGAGTCGAGTTTTGAGTCGACTCAAAACTCGACTCATTTCATGGAACGAGCGCTTCAGGCACGCATGGCAGGCTCTTCAGACGCCAGCGCGTGTTTTTTTAGAATTCTCAAAAAACAGGCGCGCACGCATGGCAGGCTCTTCAGACGGCAGCGTGAAATGAGTCGAGTTTTGAGTCGACTCAAAACTCGACTCATTTCATGGAACGAGCGCTTCAGGCACGCATGGCAGGCTCTTCAGACGGCAGCGCGTGTTTTTTTTAGAATTCTCAAAAAACAGGCGCGCACGCATGGCAGGCTCTTCAGACGGCAGCGTGAAATGAGTCGAGTTTTGAGTCGACTCAAAACTCGACTCATTTCATGGAACGAGCGCTTCAGGCACGCATGGCAGGCTCTTCAGACGGCAGCGCGTGTTTTTTTAGAATTCTCAAAAAACAGGCGCGCACGCATGGCAGGCTCTTCAGACGGCAGCGTGAAATGAGTCGAGTTTTGAGTCGACTCAAAACTCGACTCATTTCATGGAACGAGCGCTTCAGGCACGCATGGCAGGCTCTTCAGACGGCAGCGCGTGTTTTTTTAGAATTCTCAAAAAACAGGCGCGCACGCATGGCAGGCTCTTCAGACGGCAGCGTGAAATGAGTCGAGTTTTGAGTCGACTCAAAACTCGACTCATTTCATGGAACGAGCGCTTCAGGCACGCATGGCAGGCTCTTCAGACGCCAGCGCATGTTTTTTTAGAATTCTCAAAAAACAGGCGCGCACGCATGGCAGGCTCTTCAGACGGCAGCGTGAAATGAGTCGAGTTTTGAGTCGACTCAAAACTCGACTCATTTCATGGAACGAGCGCTTCAGGCACGCATGGCAGGCTCTTCAGACGGCAGCGCGTGTTTTTTTTAGAATTCTCAAAAAACAGGCGCGCACGGCATGGCAGGCTCTTCAGACGGCAGCGTGAAATGAGTCGAGTTTTGAGTCGACTCAAAACTCGACTCATTTCATGGAACGAGCGCTTCAGGCACGCATGGCAGGCTCTTCAGACAGCAGCGCGTGTTTTTTTAGAATTCTCAAAAAACAGGCGCGCACGCATGGCAGGCTCTTCAGACGGCAGCGTGAAATGAGTCGAGTTTTGAGTCGACTCAAAACTCGACTCATTTCATGGAACGAGCGCTTCAGGCACGCATGGCAGGCTCTTCAGACGGCAGCGCGTGTTTTTTTAGAATTCTCAAAAAACAGGCGCGCACGCATGGCAGGCTCTTCAGACGGCAGCGTGAAATGAGTCGAGTTTTGAGTCGACTCAAAACTCGACTCATTTCATGGAACGAGCGCTTCAGGCACGCATGGCAGGCTCTTCAGACGGCAGCGCGTGTTTTTTTAGAATTCTCAAGAAACAGGCGCGCACGCATGGCAGGCTCTTCAGACGGCAGCGTGAAATGAGTCGAGTTTTGAGTCGACTCAAAACTCGACTCATTTCATGGAACGAGCGCTTCAGGCACGCATGGCAGGCTCTTCAGACGCCAGCGCCCTGAGCAAGAACCCCTCGTTCCTTCCAGCCACTACCCCAGCCCCACCACCCTCTCAACTCCCCCCTCCCCTTCACACCTGATTTTTCTGAATGTGCGCATGAGATCACTCTGTAAGGCGTGCAGGGCAGCAGTGTGTGCGCGCATGGCGGGGGCTTCAGACGCGAGAGCCTTGAGCGAGAAGGCGTTGAAATGCGCCAGGATGGCCGCCGTGTCCTGTAGCGCGCCCAGGCTGATACGTTGGGCGAAGGCGAGGAGGAGAGGGGGACGAGGGAGGGTAGAGGGAAGAGAATTTTCAACGGACGCGGCGCCCTTCCCTCCTCCGCCACACACTTTTTCGTCGACTCAAAAGGAGAGGTGGAGGAGGGAGGAGGGAGGGTAGAGGGGAGGGAACGAGGAATGGACCCAAAGCCATGAGCGAGAAGGCGTTAAAATGCTCCCACGCCGTCCTCCCCCTTCTCCCCGCGCCCTCACCTCGCCCCTTGCGCCTCCCGCACTGCGCCCATGTCCCCCACATCCACCAGCGCGCGGATCCGCTCCGCCACCCCCTCCGCCACTCCCTCCGCCTCCGCCTCATCCTCCGCCAATCCCTCCGCCACTGCACCTCGTCCGCTTATCCCTGTAGAAGCCACTCCCCCGTCCGGTAGTCTCCGCTCCGCCGTGCCTGCACTCTCCGCGTCCCTGGCCTCCACCGCTTCCCCCTCCCGCATGCACCCCTCGGCACCGCTCTCAACCGCCGTGGTATGATGGTCTCGAGGCCCCTGAGCTGCCGTCACGGCCGTGCTGCCACGACTTGCACAATCCGCTGATCCCCCTTCGATGCACCCCTCAGCACCGCTTTGAACCGTCGCTCGAGACGCATGAGTTGCCGTCACGGCCGTGCTGCCACGACTTGCACTATCCCTCTGCGAACCGCCTGCCGCACTATCGTCCCTTACCACCCCCTCGAAGCACCCCTCAGCACCTCTCTGCACCGCAGTTTCATCGCCTCGACTCCCCGGGTCATGTGCTGCAGGGACGACCGCGCCGGCCGTGCCGTCATGGCTTGCGCTATCCCCGGCACCTGTACTGCCTGCCCGCGTATCGTCCCCCCATCTCTCCGCCGCCGCAACTCCCGCTCTATCGTCCACCCGCAAATCTCCCACCATCAGGAAATAAAATGTGCAACGGTCGAAATCAAAGCGGCAGGGACTTCTACATTTGTAACCGGTATTTTCAAGGTTTGGATTCCGCGCGGTATTCCGCCATGTGAGGGGAAAAGGGGGGCGATTACGAGGATGCGGGGCGGGGAGCGAGTTGCGCGATACGACGCGACGCGGCTGTGCAAGAAGCCACTACCCGTGTATAGAGTTGTGATTCGACAACGTTTCCTGGATAAACTAGAGCCGACGCTGATTAAGTAGACGGAGCACTCTAAACGGTTTGAGGTGGTGGAACAAGGTTCGAGCATATGCATGGTTTTCGGCAAAACAATCCAATTCGATTATATGCATGTTTTTTGCATCACTTATGCTAGTGTTACTACAAGTTGTGGCCTTGTATATCACTATTTTACAAGCAGAAATGAATCCCCACGGGCTCACAGCTACTAAATGTACTCTAAGATTTCCTATATCTACAATGTAGCGCAAATAAGAACGTTTACTTTTGTCTCTTGTCAAAGGTCAGTCACAACCCACTTGCTTCTTAGTGAGTTCGAATCATATTACCGTAAGAGCCGAATCATCCTCCTTCCAAGCTTCATCTTGAGGAAGCTTCATATTTCCGGAGCTCATTCTTTCAAGATTTGGGCCGAACCTCGCTTGTTGGGGGTTTTACTTCTTGAGACCTGCATACATGGCGTCGATTTGTGCCTGGTGGTGGGCAGAAGCAAGGCGGGGAGAGGGAAGGTGGGGAGAGGCACGGCAGGGAGGCGCAAGGTGGCAGATGTGAGAGAGAATTGAAGCTCACGGTGGCTAAAACCCGCAAGGTGGGGAGAGGCATGGCAGGGAGACGCAGGGTGGCAGATGTGAGAGAGAATTAAAGCTCACGGTGGCTAAAACCCGCAAGGTATAAGCTCACTACGGTATGTTGAAGGATGAATCCACCGGGTAGTGCTCGAGCAGCACTACTCGCTTTCTTCTCTCCTAGTCGAATCTGGTTAGATCCATTTAGATCTAGACACGAGCGACCTCAGTTGGCTTGCTGCGATCGAATCCGCCCTTAAACATCACTACGGTACATTGAAGGATGAACCCACCTGGTAGTGCTCCAGCAGCTGAAGGCGCTGCTTTTTGAGCTGGAGATGCAAGGCGCCCTCAGCTGCTGAAGGCGCTGCTACTCTAATGCACAACCCCCTCCAAGATGCACGGAGGCCAGAAGCAGGTATGGTCCGCCAACTGCTGAGACCCACCTGGTAGTACTTGAGCAGCTGCGGGCGCTTCTTCTTGAACGTGAGGATGAGCACATGCACGCAGCCTGGTGCAGGGAGCACTGGTGCAGGGCGCACTGGTGCACGCAGCCTGGTGCAGGGCGCACTGGTGCAGGGCGCATCAGCGTCCGACCTGGTAGTACTTGAGCAGCTGCGGGCGCTTCTTCTTGAACGTGGGCGTCAGCAGATCCCTTTCCATGTCGAATGGCTGACTGGGACTTCTTAATGATGTCACACAGTTTGACAACACACCAGCCTCGGCACCAAAGCCACTATGCACGTCAGGACTGGACCACTGAACCCACCTGGTAGTACTTAAGCAGCTGCGGCCGCTTCTTCTTGAACGTGGGTGTGAGCAGATCCCTCTCCATGTCAAACGGCTGGGAGTCCAGATGCACCGCCTTCACCATCTCGAATCCCTTCAGCTGGGGAACACAGAGCACAGGGGACCAAAAAGGGAGGAGGAGGAAGGGGGGAGGGAAAGGCATTTTAGATCGACGGCCTCGGCTCCACATGCACCGCTCTTACAATCTCACAAGCCCTCTAGTTCATGCGCAGAGTGGGTATAGTATGGTAGATTGCGCATGTACTGTGAAGGGTGATGCGGGGTGAAGTTTTGAAATAAGAGAGAAAGAAGCACGGGCAGCCTAAGAATCTTACCTTGCCCTTCTTGCCCGTGTCGGTCAGCTGCCCGAGAATAAATTTCTTTGCCTCCTCAGTGGCGCACACGGCAGCATAATCCCCCTCCACACCCGCCCCCTTGGCCCACTCCAACAGCGTTGGCTTGTTTGGCACCACCACCGCCACCAGCACTGCTTCAAAGCTGTTGCCATACACCCACACCTGCAGGAGTTCACATTAGTTGATGAGAGCAGTGGGGGGAGGGAGATCAAAGGAGTGAGACAGGGAGGGGTGGGCAGCATAACTCCCTTGACCCACTCTATGTCATGCAGTTGCCAAACACGTTCTCGAGATTCTCCACAGCCACATACTCCCCTTGAGCCAGCTTGGAGGACTGATATACCGTACGGAAAATACCATCTCCACACCACCACTCACCATGTCAAGAGCCGTGCAGTGCAGTTGCCAAACATGTTCTCGAGATTCTCCACAGCCACATACTCCCCTTGAGCCAGCTTGGAGGACTGATATACCGTACGGAAAATACCATCTCCACACCACCACTCACCATGTCAAGAGCCGTGCAGTGCAGTTGCCAAACATGTTCTCGAGCTTCTCCACAGCCACATACTCCCCTTGAGCCAGCTTGGAGGACTGATATACTGTACGGATAATACCATCTCCACACCACCACTCACCATGTCAAGAGCCGTGCAGTGCAGTTGCCAAACATGTTCTCGAGATTCTCCACAGCCACATACTCCCCTTGAGCCAGCTTGGAGGACTGATATACTGTACGGATAATACCATCTCCACACCACCACTCACCATGTCAAGAGCCGTGCAGTGCAGTTGCCAAACATGTTCTCGAGCTTCTCCACAGCCACATACTCCCCTTGAGCCAGCTTGGAGGACTGATATACTGTACGGATAATACCATCTCCACACCACCACTCACCATGTCAAGAGCCGTGCAGTTGCCAAACATGTTCTCGAGCTTCTCCACAGCCACATACTCCCCTTGAGCCAGCTTGGAGGACTGATATACTGTACGGATAATACCATCTCCACACCACCACTCACCATGTCAAGAGCCGTGCAGTTGCCAAACATGTTCTCGAGCTTCTCCACAGCCACATACTCCCCTTGAGCCAGCTTGGAGGACTGATATACTGTACGGATAATACCATCTCCACACCACCACTCACCATGTCAAGAGCCGTGCAGTGCAGTTGCCAAACATGTTCTCGAGATTCTCCACAGCCACATACTCCCCTTGAGCCAGCTTGGAGGACTGATATACTGTACGGATAATACCATCTCCACACCACCACTCACCATGTCAAGAGCCGTGCAGTGCAGTTGCCAAACATGTTCTCGAGCTTCTCCACAGCCACATACTCCCCTTGAGCCAGCTTGGAGGACTGATATACTGTACGGATAATACCATCTCCACACCACCACTCACCATGTCAAGAGCCGTGCAGTTGCCAAACATGTTCTCGAGCTTCTCCACAGCCACATACTCCCCTTGAGCCAGCTTGGAGGACTGATATACTGTACGGATAATACCATCTCCACACCACCACTCACCATGTCAAGAGCCGTGCAGTTGCCAAACATGTTCTCGAGCTTCTCCACAGCCACATACTCCCCTTGAGCCAGCTTGGAGGACTGATATACTGTACGGATAATACCATCTCCACACCACCACTCACCATGTCAAGAGCCGTGCAGTTGCCAAACATGTTCTCGAGCTTCTCCACAGCCACATACTCCCCTTGAGCCAGCTTGGAGGACTGATATACTGTACGGATAATACCATCTCCACACCACCACTCACCATGTCAAGAGCCGTGCAGTTGCCAAACATGTTCTCGGGCTTCTCCACAGCCACATACTCCCCTTGAGCCAGCTTGGAGGACTGATATACTGTACGGATAATACCATCTCCACACCACCACTCACCATGTCAAGAGCCGTGCAGTTGCCAAACATGTTCTCGAGCTTCTCCACAGCCACATACTCCCCTTGAGCCAGCTTGGAGGACTGATATACTGTACGGATAATACCATCTCCACACCACCACTCACCATGTCAAGAGCCGTGCAGTTGCCAAACATGTTCTCGAGCTTCTCCACAGCCACATACTCCCCTTGAGCCAGCTTGGAGGACTGATATACTGTACGGATAATACCATCTCCACACCACCACTCACCATGTCAAGAGCCGTGCAGTTGCCAAACATGTTCTCGAGCTTCTCCACAGCCACATACTCCCCTTGAGCCAGCTTGGAGGACTGATATACTGTACGGATAATACCATCTCCACACCACCACTCACCATGTCAAGAGCCGTGCAGTTGCCAAACATGTTCTCGAGCTTCTCCACAGCCACATACTCCCCTTGAGTCAGCTTGGAGGACTGATATACTGTACGGATAATACCATCTCCACACCACCACTCACCATGTCAAGAGCCGTGCAGTTGCCAAACATGTCAAAAACCAGCCAAACACGTTCTCGAGATTCTCCACAGCCACATACTCCCCTTGCGCCAGTTTGAAAATATTCTTCTTCCTGTCGATGATCTTCATCGACCCATCTGCCACTCGCCACTCCATCTGCCACACTGGCACGGATGGTACTACCGCCACACACCCCCAAATAGAAACACCGCCTCACCATATCCAAAGCCGTGCAGTTGCCAAACACGTTCTCGAGGTTCTCCACAGCCACATACTCCCCTTGAGCCAACTTAAAAATGTTCTTCTTTTGATCGATGATCTTCATCGACCCGTCCGCCTGCCACTCGCCACCTTGGTACTCGCACGGATGGTACTAGCGCCACACACCCCATCTTCCTACCGGCACAAATGTTCAAAACTTTCAGGCCAACTCACCATATCCAAAGCCGTGCAGTTGCCAAACACGTTCTCGAGGTTCTCCACAGCCACATACTCCCCTTGAGCCAACTTAAAAATGTTCTTCTTTTGATCGATGATCTTCATCGACCCGTCCGCCTGCCACTCGCCACCTTGGTACTCGCACGGATGGTACTAGCGCCACACACCCCATCTTCCTACCGGCACAAATGTTCAAAACTTTCAGGCCAACTCACCATATCCAAAGCCGTGCAGTTGCCAAACACGTTCTCGAGGTTCTCCACAGCCACATACTCGCCCTGCGCGAGTTTAAAGATGTTCTTCTTCCGATCAATGATTTTCATTGATCCATCCGCCTGCCACTCGCCAATATCACCCGTGTGGAACCACCCCTCCGCATCCACCGCCTCTTTCGTCAGATCCTCCCGCTTGTAATACCCCGAGAAGAGAATCGGCCCGCGAATGCACACCTCCCCACGGGGGGGGTGCACCTGCGCCTCTCCTGATTCGCCTTCCTGCTTGGTGCTGCCGATAGCATCGTAGTTCATTTCCGGGATGGATTCGAGGCGGGTTTCGAGCGTGGGCATGGGCGGGCCCACCGTGCCGGCCTGCTCTATGCGATCCGCATACGAGATGAAGCCGCTCGTGTTGGTCTCGGTTAGACCTGGGGGTGTTAAAGAGAAGCGGCGGCAGAGGAAAGGGTTGTGAGGGGCATAGGAGTGAGATGGCTGCGCATGGGCGGCCCAACAGTGGTGGCCTGCTCGATGCGATCCGCGTACGAGATGAAGCCGCTCGTGTTGGTCTCCGTGAGGCCTGGGGGAAGGGGAGGGAGGGTGTGTGGGGGAGGGGTGGGGGGAAGGAAATTGCACGTGGCAGCACATGGCAATCTTTCAAGCACACCTCCATCCTTGTGAGGCGCGGGACGGGCAAGGAGGAGAAGGGCACGGAGGAGAAGGGCGACACCAACCAGACAGTCACCGGGCAGCACCGCTTCCCACCACTCTAGTCACTCCATCCAACCCAAACCCCCTTTTTTTCGCATAGGATCACACTCACCATACCCCTGCACCATGTGGCGGACTCACCGTACCCCTCAATCGCACTGTACCGCTCTCAAACTCACCATACCCCTGCACCACGGGGCAGCACATGGCGATCTTCAAAAACTCCTCCACGTGAGGGGCGAGAGGGGCGGCACCGGAGCAGATAATCCGCACGTTGCCGCCCAGCCGCGCCTTGATCTGTGGCAGGAGTGAGGTGGAGGAAAGACGTGGGGTGGGGGATTAAATATGGGCATGGCGTGTCGGATCTTCACCCCTGCTGCTCTGCTGCCAGCTGTGTGCGTTCAAGGCACCTCTAGAGACTCACACGCTCACCTCTCCTCACCCACCCACAGCCACACAAACTCACCCTGTTAAATACAAAGAAGTCAAGAATGGGCATGGCATGTCGTATCTTCACCCCTGCTGCTCTGCTGCCAGCTGTGTGCGTTCAAGGCACCTCTAGAGACTCACACGCTCACCTCTCCTCACCCACCCACAGCCACACAAACTCACCCTGTTAAATACAAACAAGTCAAGAATGGGCATGGCGTGTCGGATCTTCACCCCTGCCGCTGCCACCGGTGCGTGTTCATTGATCAAGGCACCTCTTCCGAACGCACATGCTGACCTCTCCTCTCGCACCCACCCACAGCCACCCACTCACCTTGCTGAAGACGAGGAAGTCAAAAATGGGAGTGGCATCTCGGATCTTCACTCCTGCTGCCACCCACCCACCCACCCACCCACCCACCTACCCACCCACCTACCCACAGCCACCCACCCACCCACCCACCCACCTACCCACAGCCACCCACTCACCTTGCTGAAGACGAGGAAGTCAAAGATTGGCGTGGCGTCTCGAATCTTCACCCCTGCTGCCAGCCGCGCTTGCTTGCTGCTGTAGGCATAGTCGAACAGCATCTTGGTGAGCCCGCCCGTGGACTCAATCTTAGAGATGACGGCTGGGATGGTGAGGGGAAATAGAGTGGGCAGAGGGAATAGAGGGGGCAAATGAGTTAGCCTGGCTTGCTTGCTGCTGTAGGCATAGTCGAACAGCATCTTGGTGAGCCCGCCCGTGGACTCAATCTTAGAGATGACGGCTGAGATGAAGGGAAGGGAATAGAGAGGCACAGGGAATGGGGAAATGAGGTAGGTGCATGGGATCCTCGCTTGGTACGACTTTTGAGAATTCTCAGAAGTCATACCGAAGGTTAGTCCCTGGCTTGCTTGTGGGAAATGCGACGGCAGGGGCGTTTGCGGATAAGCACAGCACACTGAGTCAATCAGGCCCCTACCCGAGTGGATGCGGTCAAAGATGCGCGGCACTCCGCAGAAGAAGTGCGACGCTGACTGCCTTGCTTGCTTGCTTGCTCGTGGCACACAGAGGGGTAGGGATGCAAGGTGCATGTCCCAAGGGCCCTACCCGAGTGGATGCGGTCAAAGATGCGCGGCACTCCGCAGAAGAAGGTGGGCTTGAGGGCCTCCAAGTCGTTTGTGAGGTTCCTCACGTCCTGATGGGGTTGGAAAGAAGGGTGTGGAAGTGCGGGGGAGCGAAGGGGAAAGGACAGGGGAGGGAGTGCAGGGTGTGTGAGGAGAGTTGGGCTTAAGGGCCTGGAGGTTGGCTGTGGGCAGCTTCACGTCTTGATGGGGTGCGGGAGAAGGGGGGGGGAAGGGCGGAGTTCAAGGGGCAATGGAGGGGTAGGGGAAGGAAGGGAAGGGGACGGTGTGTGAGGCGAGGTGGGCTTGAGGGCCTCCAGGTCGTCTGTGAGCCGCCTCACGTCCTGGTGGGATAAGGGGAGTGGCGGGCATACAAGTGCAGTGGAGGGGAGGAGAGAAGGGAAGCGAAAAGGAAGAGGGCGAGTGTGTGCGGCGGGGCTGGCTTGAGCGCCATGAGCTCCTCTGCCACGAATATGTGTGCCATAGACCCTACCACATCTCACCCCCCACCAGACCTCACCACCGCGTCTCACCCCCCACCACCGCATCCCACCGCATCTCACCCCTCACCACCGCGTCGCACCCCTTGCCAGAAGCCAATGGAGCCGCCCAGGTGCGTCATAAGCTCCTTCGCGATGCGGTAATTGATATGCGCCAGGGGCAGATAGGAGACGTGCTGTGCACATCCGCGTCCCACCTCTCAACACTGTGTCAAACCCATCACCATCACATCTACCCCCCCACCTCCGCATTCCATCCCTCACCACCGCATTCCACCGCAACCCATCCATCACCACCGCATCTCACTCACCCCTTGCCAGAAGCCAATGGAGCCCCCCACATGGGTCATGAGCTCCTCGGCCACGCGGTCAAAGATGTGTGCCAGGGGCAGGTAGGAAATGTAGATATCCGCTTCGGTGAGCTGTGAGGGTGGGAGGGGTGTGGGGGATACAGAGGACATCAAAGGGAGACGTCATGAGCTCCTCGGCCACGCGGTCAAAGATGTGTGCCAGGGGCAGGTAGGAAATGTAGATATCCGCTTCGGTGAGCTGTGAGGGTGGGAGGGGTGTGGGGGATACAGAGGACATCAAAGGGAGACGTCATGAACTGCTCTGCCACGCGGTCAAAGATGTGTGCCAGGGGCAGGTAGGATATGTAGATATCCGCTTCGGTGAGCTTGTGAGGGTGGGAGGGGTGTGGGGGATACAGAGGACATCAAAGGGAGACGTCATGAGCTGCTCTGCCACGCGGTCAAAGATATGTGCCAGGGGCAGGTAGGATATGTAGATATCCGCTGGGGTGAGCTGTGATGGGGGTGGGCAAGGAGGGAAACACAGCGCATATCAAGGGGAGGAGCTCATCTCGTCTCCTCCGCGGTCGAATATGTGCGGAAGAGGGAGAGAGGCGCAACAGATGTCGATGTCTGCTGGGGTGAGCTGTGAAAGGGGGAGGGGGAGAGAGTGGGGAGTGGAGGGCAACAACAGGAACTGGTGGTTGAAGATGCGAGCAGCTGTTGTGTTGTGGCCGCAGCAGCAACAGTGCAGTAACCACTCCCTACTGCCCACTCACCACGCAGTTGGTAACCTCGCAGAAGCACTTGGGTGCCGGCAACAGCAGTGGCGAGAGTCCCACCGCTGGCGCAGCATCCAGGCCTATGCATCCCCTTCTCTCCCCCACCCCCCTGCTTCCCCTCCGCGCACCACACAGGTGTTGACCTCGCAGAAGCGCTTGGTGCCCGCCACGGCAGTGGCGAGAGGGGCTTGGACAGCCGGCATGAGAGTGGACATGGACGCATAATCGTGATCCCCCCCCCCCCCCCCCCCCCCCTACTGCCCACTCACCACACAGTTGTTGACCTCGCAGAAGCGCTTGGTGCTCGCTACAGCAGTGGCAGGGAGCACCCTACACTACACTGATGGGACATCCAATCCAAGGCCCTGCCTCCCCTTCTCCTCCTCTCCCACCACCCCCGCCTTCCCCCTTTACTCCCACTCACCACACAGTTGTTAACCTTGCAGAAGCACCTGTTAAGGCGCCTCAAAAGGCGCTTTTTAAGGCGCCTTAAAAGCTTGCCACCCACCCAACCCCATCCCCACTCACCACACAGTTGTTGACCTCGCAGAACCGCTTGGTGCCCGCTACAGCAGTGGCAAGGGCATGATTCGTTATAAGCACTCCCTTGGGCTCGCCCGTGGTGCCTATCGATTGAGGGGTGGAAGGACAACAGGGGGGGGCGGTTGGCACGGTTGGGGAGAGATGATGGGAGTAATGAGCCACGTCAAAGCATGAGGGAGAAACCTTTGCGTCGACTCAAAAGTCACCTCATGGACAGAGATGATGGGAGCGATGAGGCGCGTCAAAGCGTGAGGGAGAAGAAAAATGAGTGGGTAAGAACGCCCTTGGGCTCGCCCGTGGTGCCTATCGATTGAGGGGTGGAAGGACAACAGGGGGGGGCGGCTGAAATAAGTGGACAGAGATGATGGGAGCGATGAGACGCGCCAGAGCGTGAGGGGGAACAAGAGTGAGTGAGCTGTAGGAGATGTAGGCGTCAGAACAAGAGTGAGTGAGCTGTAGGAGATGTAGGCGTCAGAACAAGAGTGAGTGAGCTGTAAGCACGCCCTTGGGCTCTCCCTTAGTACCTACCAGAGAAACCACCAGTCTGATCTGAACCCACCTAAGGAAGCATCTGAACCCACCTGAGGTGTACATGACAAACCACCTGAACCCACCTGAGGTGTACATGATGGTGCAGATGTCCTCTGGCTTGGACGGGCATGGCTCCACTGGCTTCTCCTCGCCCTGATGAGTAGGGGCAGGGGACAGTGCACACAGATTCAGAGGACAGAGGGAAGGGGATGAGTGTGGACCAGCAGAAACGGCAGGGAAGGAAAAGGGGAAGAGAGGAGGGAAGGAGGAGAGGAGGAGAGGAAAGTAGAAAGGGAGACGGTAGGTGGGGAGGACGAAGGGAGGAGAAGATCAGAATTCATATGCATGCCAACTCTAAAAATGATCACGTGCATACTGCCATTGACTGCCATTGACTGCCATTGACCTGCGTTGACTCACCTCCTTGAGAAAGTCGTCCCAGCTGACTCAGATGCCTATGATTTGCCAGCGCCTTAGCTGACATTTGAGGCGCCTCAGCAATTGACTGCCATTGACCTGCGTTGACCAGCATTGACCCTCGTTGACTCACCTCCTTTAAAAAGTCGTCCCAGGTGACTCCTCGGATGCCCATGTCTGTGAGCGCCTTGGCTGAATCCGCATCCAGCGCCCCCATGCTCACCACGGCTGGTGGGGGGAAGGGGAAGAATTATATGAATGGAGGGAGAGGAAGAAGAGAGAAGCGGAGGGTGAGAGAGAAGAAAAGGGGGAGGGGAAGGAGAAGGGGGGAAGGTGAGGGGGGAGGGAGAATGGAGAAATTTCGGCAGGCGGGTTGACAAAAACGAATGTGGCAACATTCCCGTGGCAAAGTTCTCCAGGATGGAAGGTGAGTTCTGAGTCGACTTTTGAGTCGACTCGAAAGGAGAAAAATCGGAAGGCCGGTTGACAAAAACGAATGTGGCAACATTCCCGTGGCATCATTCTCCTGGATGGAAGGTGGGATGGGAGGAGAGAGGTTGGGAAGGAGATTATAGATGCTAGGAAAATGCCAAGTGTGCGATAGGCGGGTGTGTGAGAAGCTGGTAGATCAGAGCTTCATCTATGAAGGATGCAATTCTCTCAAAAAAAAAACAACAACAACAACAACAACAACAACAACAACAACAACAACAACAACTCGGAAAAAACTCGCAAACAAAAACTATGCTCAAGGGACTGCCCCAAGCCCCCAAGTCCTCGGCCCAGGCGACTTACTCTTGACATTCTCAGTGCAGTTAGGCAGGCTCTTGAGCAGCTGCACATGCATGAGGGGCGAGAGGCGAGGGGAGTGCATGCGAGGGAGAGGAAAGAGAAAGGGGTGTGGGGGATGAGAGCAAGGCGTGTGCAGTTAGACAGACTCTTGAGCAGCTGCAGAGTTCGAGAACGAGGTGAGAGGCAGCATTGAGTCGACTCAAAAGCGAGGGAGAGGAAAGAGAAAGGGGTGTGGGGGATGAGAGCAAGGCGTGTGCAGTTAGACAGACTCTTGAGCAGCTGCAGAGTTCGAGAACGAGGTGAGAGGCAGCTTTTGAGTCGACTCAAAAGCGAGTCTGCTTTTGAGTCGACTCAAAAGCGAGTCTGCTTTTGAGTCGACTCAAAAGCGAGTCTGCTTTTGAGTCGACTCAAAAGCGAGGGAGAGGAAAGAGAAAGGGGTGTGGGGGATGAGAGCAAGGCGTGTGCAGTTAGACAGACTCTTGAGCAGCTGCAGAGATTCGAGAACGAGGTGAGAGGCGAGAACGGCGTGAGAGGCGACAACGAGGTAAGAGGCAAGGGGCGATGGGAGAGGGGCGAAGGGCGAGGGTCGAAGGGAGTGCATGCAAGAACCCTAAACCCTAAGGACAGAAGGGGTCAATGTGCAGGCAGCATGCTGTGAGATCAGAAATTCAAAGCCGAAAGTCAAGGCTTTCGTGGATCCAGAAAGTCAATGACTCACAGCAGGCAGGTATCTTGGCTGCTTGCACGACCTGGCTTTTGAGAATTCTCAAGAACCAGCCTGTAAGATCCAGAAAGTCTATGACTCACAGCAGGCAGGTATCTTGGTTGCTTGCACGACCTGGCTTTTGAGAATTCTCAAGAACCAGCCTGTGAGATCCAGAAAGTCTATGACTCACAGCAGGCAGGTATCTTGGTTGCTTGCACGACCTGGCTTTTGAGAATTCTCAAGAACCAGCCTGTGAGATCCAGAAAGTCAATGACTCACAGCAGGCAGGTATCTTGGTTGCTTGCACGACCTGGCTTTTGAGAATTCTCAAGAACCAGCCTGTGAGATCCAGAAAGTCAATGACTCACAGCAGGCAGGTATCTTGGCTGCTTGCACGACCTGGCTTTTGAGAATTCTCAAGAACCAGCCTGTGAGATCCAGAAAGTCAATGACTCACAGCAGGCAGGTATCTTGGCTGCTTGCACGACCTGGCTTTTGAGAATTCTCAAGAACCAGCCTGTGAGATCCAGAAAGTCTATGACTCACAGCAGGCAGGTATCTTGGCTGCTTGCACGACCTGGCTTTTGAGAATTCTCAAGAACCAGCCTGTGAGATCCAGAAAGTCAATGACTCACAGCAGGCAGGTATCTTGGCTGCTTGCACGACCTGGCTTTTGAGAATTCTCAAGAACCAGCCTGTGAGATCCAGAAAGTCTATGACTCACAGCAGGCAGGTATCTTGGTTGCTTGCACGACCTGGCTTTTGAGAATTCTCAAGAACCAGCCTGTGAGATCCAGAAAGTCAATGACTCACAGCAGGCAGGTATCTTGGTTGCTTGCACGACCTGGCTTTTGAGAATTCTCAAGAACCAGCCTGTGAGATCCAGAAAGTCAATGACTCACAGCAGGCAGGTATCTTGGCTGCTTGCACGACCTGGCTTTTGAGAATTCTCAAGAACCAGCCTGTGAGATCTAGAAAGTCTATGACTCACAGCAGGTATCTTGGCTGCTTGCACGACCACGAGCGCCACTTCCGCATGGTTGAGAATGAATGACACTGCCTCCGCACCTGCATGGAGGGAAGAGAGGGGAGAGGAGAGTGGGAGAGCAGAGACAGAGAGCTGTGTGATGCACAGCAGGGGGGGGGGGGAAGGAGGAGGAGGGCTGCTTGCACGACCACGAGTGCCACTTCCGCATGGTTGAGAATGAATGACACTGCCTCCGCACCTGCGATGGGGGAATGAGAAAGAGAGCAGAGACAGAGATTGGTGTGTGTGATGCACAGCAGGGAGAAGAGGGACGAGGAAGGCTGCTCGCTAACCTTAGCAACGCACGCAGCGATCAACGTTCCTAGGATGCTTCCTTTGCACTTAAGTAACTCACTCGTGTACCTATTGAGTCGACTCAAAAGTCAACTCCCTGAGCAACGCACGCAGCGATCAACGTTCCCATGATGCTCTCTCTCTTTGCACATAAGTAACTCCCACTCGTTTACCATCATATGCAATGCAGTGTACTATCATACGATCCGCGTGTGATGAGTCAATTTTTTACTCGACTCAAAAATCGTTCCCAGAATGCTCTCTTTGCACATAAATAAATCACTCGTGTACCGTCCGTATGCAATGCAGTGTACTATGAAATATGCATCGTCGCTCCCATACTCGCTAGTGACTCACCATTTGTATCATACACACGATTGCTCCCATACTCGTTAGTGACTCACCCAGTGTATCGTAGAGTGGCACGCACTGCATGGACTGACAGTTGCATGCCTGGAAAAACAAAAAGGGGATTCAGCAAGAAGAGAAAAAAACAAGAGACTTTGAGTCGGCTCGGCTCAGCATGGGACGATAAGATTTGAATTGATGTATATTTTAAGACTTCATTAAACTTTTGTTTTTTTTATGTAAACGATCCAGAAAGGCATGAACTGTACTGTGCGCGTCAAAGGAAAGCTAGCAGAGGAAGGCAAGCAGTGTGTTTCCTTGGCGTTCCCACACAAGGTGACTTCTGAGTCGACTCAAAAGGCAAGCAGTGTGTTTCCTTGGCGTTCCCACACATGCATGCAATGCAGAGCTCACTCCCCATCAGAGCCCGTACCTCCATGGCCATGAACCACTGGGGCGAGTTGATGCCGTGGATGGGACAGAGTGGCAGAGAGCAAGGCACAGTGCTACAGCGAGTAGAGTGCACCTTCAAATGCGCACTGACACTCCCCCAACGTGACAACCTCTCATCAGACACCGTACCTCTCATCAGACACCGTACCTCCATGGCCATGAACCACTCGGGCGAGTTGATGCCGTAGATTCCCACCTTGGCGTTCTGATGGAAAAGGGATGTGGTGGGATACAGACAGGAAGGAGATGAGAGAGGTACAAGGGAGTTGGGAGCGGTGGGAGAGAGCTGGATAACATGAACCACTCGGGCGAGTTGACGCCGTAGATTCCCACCTTGGCGTTCTGATGGGGAGGGGTGGTGGTGGTGAGAGGCGTTGAGCGAGGTAGAAAGGGGTTGGACGAGGTAGAAAGGGGTTGGACGAGGTAGAAAGGGGTTGGACGAGGTAGAAAGGGGTTGGACGAGGTAGAAAGGGGTTGGACGAGGTAGAAAGGGGTTGGACGAGGGAGGAAGGGGTTGGACGAGGGAGGAAGGGGTTGGACGAGGGAGGAAGGGGTTGGACGAGGGAGGAAGGGGTTGAGAGAGAAATGAACCACTTGGCTGGCGGCGAGCTGTTGTCGTAGATGCCCACCTTGGCGTTCTGATGGGGGGAGAGAGAGGTGATGAAGGGATACTGGTAGGAAGGAGTTGGAAGAGGTGAAGAGAGGTTTGTTGGACGCGGCGTCAAACAGGTGAGCGTATGGCGTAGATTTCCACCTGGCGTTCTGATGGGGTGGAAAGGTGAATGGAAGATGGGCAAAGGAGGGAGGTAGGGGAAAGAAGAAGGAAAGAGAGAGAAAGGCGGGGGAGGGGTCGGAGGGAGGGGATTTGGGGAGGGAATGGGATGAGAGGGCGAGGGTGGATGAAAAAAAAAAAAAAAAAAAAAAAAATCCCCCACTCAACTCAACTCTTTTTCGTACCCTGATTGTCATGAATCGAAAGATTCTTATTCCGGAAAAAGACAAGCCCCCCTATCAACTCCCCTCTTTCCTCCACCCTCAATTAATCAATACTCAACCCTCCCTCCACTCCTCCGCCCACCCTTCTTCCCTCCCTTCCTCCCTCCCGCCCCTCTGCCCTCCCCTCCTGCTTCCCTTCCTTTGCTCGTCCCCCCACGCACCGCTTCCAACCCAGCAGCACGGTACGCTGATCCCCTCCCCCTTCCCTTCCCTTCCCACCCTCCCGAACCCCACCTTCCGTTCCCTTCTTTCCCCTTTCCCGCCCCCCATTCCCTCCCCCTACTCACCGCTTCCAACCCAGCAGCACGGTACGCTGATCCCCTCCCCCTTCCCCTCCGGCCTCCCCTTTTCCCATCCCGCCCCTCACCCTCACCCACCTTTCCCTCCCCCAACTCACTGCTTCCAACCCAGCAGCACGATAAGCTGATCCCAGCTGCAGCACCTTGTCATGCACCTGGGAATACGTGTCCCACACAAAGGGACCCCACTTCCCTGTCTCTTCCTCCCCCCCCGCCCCCCCTCTCCCCCTTACCCTCCCCCTACTCACCGCATCAAGCCCAGCAGCACGATAAGCTGATCCCAGCTGCAGCACCTTGTCATGCACCTGGGAGTACGTGTCCCACACGAAGGGACCCCACCTCCCTTTCTCTCCCCCCACTTTCCCTCCTTCCGCTCCCTTCTTTCCTCCCCCTACTCACCGCTTCCAACCCAGCAGCACGGTAAGCTGATCCCAGATGCAGCACCTTGTCATGCACCTGGGAGTACGTGTCCCACACAAACGGGCCCGGCTGGGGGGAGGAGAAAAGAGGGAGGAGAGATGGGGGAAAGCGTGGAGGAGTGGAGGAGAGAAGGAGGGATGAGGGCAGCACGGTACGCTGATCCCAGTTGCAGCACCTTGTCATGCACCTGGGAATAGGTGTTACACACAAAGGGCAAAGAGGCAGGGAAAAGAGGACAGGAAAGACGGATGAGTTGCTAGCAAGGAAACGAGAAGAGAAAACAACTGGTGAGGGTGAGGGAGGGGGGAGAGGAGGGAGTGGGCAGGCAGGGCATGACATAGCAGTCCTTTGCACTACCTACCGTTGTGACGTTGTCACAAGGCAAGCAGTCCAGTACAGTACAAGGTTCAGGACCTGAGTTTCAAGTCGTGTTTTGAGTCGACTCAAAACACAACGCATGACATAGCGGTCCTTAGCACTACGGTTGTGACGTTGTCACAAGGCAAGCAGTCCATTACAGTACAAGGTTCAGGACCTGAGTTTCGGGTGATACCTTGCCATCTACGATCGAGTGATTCCTCAGGAAGATTGCATCCGAACACTACCATTCGTTACAAGACAATCCGTTACGAGGTTCAGGACCTGAGTTTCGGTTAATACCTTGCCATCTACGATCGAGCGCTTCCCCAGAAACTTGTTGTCGCCGAATCGATACACAGAGGCCCTGAAATTCAGCCACGTGGCGATAGATCATTGGATGCACGTACAGAACATAACAGCCTCGAATTATTCACGATCCCGTGCAGGAAAAGCACAATTTCAAGCCAATCAAAGACCACATGAAGAGGCGGTACAATCCCACGCCTGGACATTTTTATACACGGTGAGGAGTGAAGCAGAAAGTGACACATAATAGATGAACCGATATCGAGTTTAAGACGTCTACAATGATAAAACAAGGAAGTGTCGACACAAGAGGGACGTGGGATTGCACGACGAGGAATAAAGGAAGCGCGGATAAGCGAGCGAGCGAGCGAGCGAGTCATGCGGTAGGGAGAAGAGAAGGACGCACGTGAAGAGGCTCCACATGGTGTCGATGACTGGGGTCAGGTCGAGGTACCCAATGGTGTCAACCCCGGGCCCCAGGTCGGCGTACGCATCCTTGGCGTAGATGCTGCGGTACGTGGGACCTGCGGGCACGAGGAACGGATGAGCGAAATAAGGAGATTACCATTGCGCCCACAGGATGGTTCTGAGTCGACTCTACAATTTGAAGTACCCATCCTTGGCGTAGATGCTGCGATACGTGGGACCTGCGGGTGTGCGTGAGGCGAGAGAAACGGATCAATGAGATACGGAAATAACCCTTTGAGCCGACTCAACGGGTTGGCGTACCCATCCTTGGCGTAGATGCTGCGATACGTGGGACCTGCGGGTGGGGAAAGGGGCGAGATGAATGCCATAAGGAGATGACTATTGAGTCGACTCAACAGGTTGGTGTACGCATCCTTGGCGTAGATGCTGCGATACGTTGGACCTGCGGACAAGAGAAACAGATGAGCGAACTAAGGAAAATGTTTTTTGAGCGGCCTTTGGGTCGACTCAACAGGATCCTTGGCGTAGATGCTGCGATACGTGGGACCTGCGGGTGGGGAAGGGGGCGAATGAATGGAGGAGGTGACTGTTTAGTCGAGTCAAATGGTTGGCGTACGCATCCTTGGCGTAGATGCTGACACGTGGCAACTGCGCACGTGGAAGTCGGCGAGAATGACATCTGAGTCGACGCTAATACGCTAAATTACATGCTACTATACGCGGAACCTGTGGATGTGGACGGAAGCGAAAATAACATCTGAATTTATTCTCATACAATCTTAAATTCTGCTATACGTCGGACCTGCGCACATGGATAGAGGCAAACTTTGCATCTGATTCGACTCTGATACATTCTTGAATTCTTCTATTATCGTGGATTTGTGGATGAGGATGGACCGTCCCGAAATTCATAGTACTGACTCCCACTGTCCAAAAGACCCCCCCCCCCAAAAACAAATTTCGCGTGACGCGACGGAAAGCGACGGATGGGTACGGAAGAACGCGCAAACACTTCCAAGGGGATGACACGTGGCGTCGCGAGTACCGAACACGACTGTGTATTCGAAAACAGCAAGCTAGCATTACACGTATCTTGGAAAAAAATATTAAAGAAAAAGGGAAACGAACAAGAAACAGCCATAGCCTGATTCGAGAACGACATGAAACCCGCTCGCCTTGTGAAGGGCTTCGATCGCTGGAGGGAACGGCGTCCGCAACCTTGTGCAACCACTAACCATGGACTGCGTTCAGGATTTAGACGTCTAGAAACTGCAGTATGACGCGACGGACAAGACCGACTTGCCTTTTAAGGGGCTTGCATCTGTGGCGGCAACGCGTCCGAAACCTTGTGTAACCATTTGTTTAAGACAGATGTTCAATATTTACACGTCTGAAACAGAAAAAAATGTCGCGGCGGACGATTTCGACCGCAGAAAGACGCGACGGACGAGACCGACTTGCCTTTCGAGGGGCTTCCATCAGTGGCGGGAACGGCGTCCGCAACCTTGTGCAGCCACTTCCCAGGACCGACATCCAGATTCTCGGCCATTCTTGTCCAGCTAACGCGACCGCGTTAGTTAGAGATCAGACTTCTATGCGAATGTAGCTGAAATAACGAGACCACTAAAGGCTCGTACTGAAGCGAATGCAGCTAGAAGAATGGAGAAACCCAATGCTTGCAAATCCAAGAAACGTGAATTATGCAAAGCGCTGCTCCATCTGCTCTTCAGGTCAGGATGCTGTAATTCAGAATTGGCACGAGAGAAATGTCGGAAAAGGCATCCGCACGGATCGGTGCAAAGGCTTTCAGAACGCTTCTACCTGATGTGCTGCGGTGCACACAGACCACACCTTACGCCTTGCTAATACAATACTGGAATAGAGCTTGAAGACAGGGGTTACTGGACCGGTTTATTCGGTTCAAAATGATCCAGACAGGTCAGATTCGGTGATACGAGACATGTCTGACATTCTGCCTGAAATTGCTGACAACCACCTGAGCTGGCTCCAGGTTCTAGGGAGGCTGTTGAACATTCGACGGATCCTTGGGGATGCCGACCAGCTTGCATGGACAACACGAAACGCCACATCAGCGTCTCCACACCAACACGAAGCCATACAAACGGAGGGAGAAAGGAGGGAGTGGCTACATATTTGGTGTATAAGTGACGAATATTATAGCAGTTAGCCTCATGGTTTTCGAGAATGTGTATAGCGGAGGGTCCAGACTCAACGCGTTGTGCGTTTTTACCGCTCCGCCCATGTGTAGATGCGCACTGAGAGGGTATTCCGCTCTGCGCTTGGTTCGGGCTGAATCCGAGCCCAAACAATATCTCAGGTCACGTGACATAATTTCGCGAGACTCGTCAAAGAGGTTCAGCACTTCGCGACACCCTTCACATGAGGAGGCTGACGAAATGCCACGTCGCCAACGAATCACCAACAAAGCTGTAGTTCATGCGGAGCTGGCGACAACCAGCACGTGAAACAGTCGCCAAGCGCAAGCCCCTTTCCGCAGCTAGTTTTGAAGGAAGGGGGAGGCGCGGGATTTACAGACACCACTTCCTGCGACCCGCGCGACGCCAAGCGGCGCCGCCAAAGCAGGTACCGCCACCCCCATAGCTATAGCCTCAACCCCAATCAAATGCGCAATTACTGCCCCTCTCGGCTCCGCGCACGCGAGAGAACCCCAAAATTCCTGCCCGAATTGCCCCTTTCAACCAATCCCATCCCAGCCAAACCACTTTCCCGCCCCCATCAATTTCCCCATCTCCCCACTCGCGTATTTGTACGATCCAGATTCTAGATGCTTCTGCGCCATTCTCAAGTTTTCATTTCCAGTCCCACGCAATTCTCTTAGTTCTGCACCAAACTTCTATTTCCTCAACAAACCTAGCTTGGCCCTGCTCCTCCCTTCTTGAATTCGCAGCTTCGTGCATTCCGCTAAGCTACTCTCTGCAAGAATTCAGACGGAGCTCTCGTTACACAAGCATCCTAACGCGTTCACCCTTGTTTTCGAATTATTTTGGCCTAATTGCCGTAGCACCACAGCCCATTTCGCCAGCGCAGCAACTATTAGCCATAATCTCAGGGACGTGTACCTTCTCGTTGCCTTCTCGCCGTCTAACGTAGCGCCTTATCGTGCCCGCTCCGTCAATCAGCATAGCGCCCTATTTGGCCCGCGCCACCATGTCGGCCGGTGGCGGCGGCGACGGCGGAGGAGTGGAGGTTCTTTCAAGCCCCCATTTCACCAATCACTTGCGCCTTCCCCGCGTGCGCTGCCCGCGCGGAGGCCTCTCCCGCGGAACCGTCGGCAGCAGCCCGCGGATGGGGCGGAGCCGTTCCTCCCCGCGCCTAACCTCTCCGCGCACACCGCGGCGACGCACTGGGCGCCTCTCCGCGGGCGCCGCGATGGCGTTTTTCAACACGTGTCGCTCTCCCACTAGCCCGACATTTGCGACGTTCTTTCAGCTACAACAGCAGCTACAGCAGGAAATACAGCAGGAATTCCCGCAGCAACAACAGCAAAATCAACCGCAGCAGCAGCAACAGCAACAACAACCACAACCTCAGCAGCAAAATCCACCTTTACACGCTATCTGGCGGCCCCTGTCTCCACCCATCGTTGATAAATCGCTAGCTCCCGGCGGCAGCTGCGGCGGCGGCGGCGGCGGCGCGGGAAGCAGCGGCGCATCGAGAAGCGGCGCGGAGGCGGAGTATAGCGCGATGGTGAATGAGGAGCTGCTGCTGTTCTTCTACCGAATGGACTTAAACGCGCGCCTGGAGGTAGGGCGCCATATGGGGGCTATTATGGCAGAGGTTGGGCGCAGGTATGGAGGCAGGCACGGCACAGGTGGGGCGCAGGTTGGGCGCAAGTAGGGGCGCAGGTAGGACGCAGGTGAGGGCAGGTAGGGATAAGCCGGCGGAGATCGACCAAGAGACTGTCCCCTTTCCTCCCTGACCTCTTTTCCCCTCCCTTTTTCCCAACCCACTCCCCGCCCAATTTCCCCTTCCCAACGCACTCCACCCCCACCCCCCCCCCTTCCCCCTCCCTCTTTCCGTCCCCATTCGCCTTCCGCCAAACCCGCCTTCCCGCCCTTCTGCGCAGAGAGCGCTGCAAGCGGAACAGTACGAGGCAGCGCAGGAGCTACGGAATAAGCAAAGCCCCCTTTCCTTTCCCCCCCATCTTCCCCTTCCTTCCCTCTGTCTGCGCAGAGAGCGCTGCAGGCGGACCAGTACGAGGCAGCGCAGGAGCTAAGGGAGAAGATCGCGGAGATCGACAGAGAGACAGTTTCTCCCTTTCCTCCCCTTCCCCCTCCCCCTGCCCTTCCCCCCTCCGCCTTCCCCCAATCCCTCTATCCGCGCAGAGAGCGCTGCAGGCGGACCAATACGAAGCAGCGCAGGAGCTAAGGGAGAAGATCGCGGAGATCGACAGAGAGACAGTTTCTCCCTTTCCTCCCCTTCCCCCTCCCCCTGCCCTTCCCCCCTCCGCCTTCCCCCAATCCCTCTATCCGCGCAGAGAGCGCTGCAGGCGGACCAATACGAAGCAGCGCAGGAGCTACGAGAGAAGATCGCGGAGATCGACAGAGAGACGGCGCGGCAACGAGACGCCAAAGCCGCCATCTCCTTCGCCTCCGCTGCGCCTCCTTCCCCTATCCCCTGCGCTAACCACGCCGCCGCCCCAACCGCCGCCCCTTCCGCCGCCCCTTCCGCCGTCCCCTCCGCTGCCCTTTCCGCCGCCCCGTCCGCCGCCCCTTCCGCCTTGGGAAGCACCAGCAACAGTGGCGGCGGCGGCAGCAGCAGCAGTTTCAGCTGCATGCCACCATTGGTGGAGGGTGGGCCTCTCTCCATGCAAACCCTTTCCGCTGACCCTTCCGCCTTGGGAAGCAGCAGCAGCACCAGCAACAGTGGCGGCGGCGGCAGCAGCAGCAGTTTCAGCTGCATGCCACCATTGGTGGAGGGTGGGCCTCTCTCCATGCAAACCCTTTCCGCTGACCCTTCCGCCTTGGGAAGCAGCAGCAGCACCAGCAACAGTGGCGGCGGCGGCAGCAGCAGCAGTTTCAGCTGCATGCCACCATTGGTGGAGGGTGGGCCTCTCTCCATGCACACCCTTTCCGCTGACCCTTCCGCCTTGGGAAGCAGCAGCAGCACCAGCAACAGCAGCGGTGGTGGCGGCAGCAGTTTCAGCTGCATGCCACCATTGGTGGAGGGTGGCCCTCTCTCCATGCACACCCTAAAGTGCGTTGACTTTTCTGACTTGGTTTTACTGCTTTGAATTGGTTGACTTGGTTTGACTTATATGTAATCGGGTTGGTTTCCATTAGCCTGACTGAACTGACTTGCGTCGACCTTCGTTGCCCTCCCCGTCTCCCCTTCGCCCCGACCACCCTCCCTGGTCTCACCTTATTCAGTGCCTCATTCTACGCCATTACCTTTCCCCACCCTTATTTTTCTGCCTGCCCGCTGTGCAGAGAGGAGCTACAGCAGGCAGCATACGGGGGAAAAACAGGGGAAGGGGAAGGGGAAGTAAAGGCCGTGAGGTGTCGCTTTCAGTTGGGGCAGCGCGTGCAACACTGCAGGCACGGTGAGAGAGAGAAAGAGAAGGAGGAGGGTGGGGAGTGGGGAGTTGGAGGGAGGGGGAAAGGGGTGTGGAAAGGGCCAGGGATTGAGTGTGCGGCAGGGGGGCGGTGAGGTGTCGCTTTCAGTTGGGACAGCGCGTGCAGCACTGCCGACGCAGTGAGAGAGAGAAAGAGAAGGGGGAGGGTGGGGGCTGGGGGCTGGGAACGAGGAGGGGGGGTGGAGCATTGCAGACAAGGTGAGAGAGAGGGGCAGGGCCGGGTGACAAGGCGTGAATTCCGACTTTTGAGGCGCCTCAAAAGTTTTGAGGCGCCTCAAGAGAGGGGCAGGGCCAGGTGACAAGGCGTGAATTTCGTGTGCTCGCAGTGGCGAGAGGTGAGAGGGGCTGGACCCCCTCTCCCATTGCTCCCCTTCCCCCTCTGCCAGCCTATACCGCCGTGGTGACAAGGCGTGAATTTCGTGTGCTCGCAGTGGCATTTGAAACTGGGCCTGCCCTCACGCTTTCCTCCAATCCCTGACGCTTTACCCCCCTGCCTGGACCCCCTCTCCCATTGCTCCCCTTCCCCCTCTGCCAGCCTATACCGCCGTGGTGGGGGGCGTGGATTCCCTGTGCTCGTAGTGGCATTTGAAACTGGGCCTGTTCCCTTTTGCCCGCACTTGCCGTTTTCAACCCCCTTTTCCCCTATTCTCCCCCCTCCACCTCCCCCTTTCCCATTCCGCCGCCCCCCCCCCCCCCCCCCTCCCAGTCTATACCGCCGTGGTGGTGGGCGTGGATCCCCTGTGCTGCGAGCGGGGCACCGGGAACTAGTCCGTTCAATTCCTCTTTCTTAGCTCCCCCTCTCCCATTGCTCCCCTATACCCATCGCAGCCTATGATGCAGTGGTGGTGGGTGTGGATCCCGTGTGCTGTGAGTCAGCAGAGTGGATGGCAGCTGCTGACGTGGCAGGCCTTCCCAGAGGGCCGTGTCAGCCGTTTTACCAGGTATGCGCGCTTGGTGGGTCGAATATCTTGAATCTGTTCCCCAATCAGATCGAGTATTTTTAATCAAATTGACTTTCCTGTCAGATTTGAGTCTCCACGGTCACCATTCGCTTTAGTCAAAGATTTGGTTTTCCAAAGACTAGGAATTTCCAACTACTTCATTGGAAATGTGTACCAATTGATTTAAACATGTGTCAGGTGTGGAATTGAACTACCCTAAACCTTGGCCTCCTATCGTTTCTAATGCGCCAAGCAAGTTAACATTGCTTTGCGAAGTCGCGTTACTTTGCAACCGAACGGCGCGTTTCTTTGCTTTTGGAGGGGCACCTTGCGTGCCGCTTGCGCTGGTTGCTTTGATTGCTTTGATTGCTCTGCAACCGAACGTCGCGTTGCTTTGCTTTCGGAAGGGCACCTTGCGTGCCGCTTGCGCTGGTTGCTTGCGAACGGATGGTTTTGTAAGGCGCCCTTCCGAACGTTGTTGTTGCAACCGAATTCGCGTTGCAAGTTTGTTAATTTGCGGTGCTTGCTTTGCAAGCTCGCAGGCGGTGCGGATAAATAAACCGAACGCAGCACCTTTTTCTGCGCTTCGCGCCTATGGAATACCACCGTTCCTTGGGCGGGAAGCTACAAGCAGTCATTGATGTGTTATTTCGTAAGTCGATCATGCCACCTCACTGGCCGGTCATGATAAATGCCTTCTCACTGCTCAGACGAAGACAATGAGCAAGAAGAATGGGTAGATTACACGCCGCATGGCCCTTCGCCTGTGCGCTCCGCCGAAGGGCATCCGAACGCGTATTCTTCCCATTCTCCTTGCTCATTGCCCTCGCCTGAGCAGGGAGAAGGTCCGGTGATGATAAATTCCTTAGTCATGGAACCATACAATTTACACATTTCCCACCGTTGCCAATGATTGCAGTCTCTTATCATAACTTTCCTCGCCCATCCCATACCACTGCACCAAGCAGGTTCTCTTGGACTCTGCTGAGGGAGGAAGCTTTCCGGTAGCTTACGGTGAGTGATACCAATATGGGTTGCCATACGCACAGCAGAAATCAGCATCGCTGAGATTGGCGTTAGGTTTTCTCCTTCAGTTTCTTCAAGCGCATGTATCCGTTTCCCCCTTCGTCTCTTCCCCCTCTCTTGTTCCCCCTCTCCAGCTCTTTCTTCTGTTTCTTTCTTGCTTCTTTATTTCGTTCATTTTTCCCTCTTTCTTGCAGTGGCCGAGGACCAACTAATCCTTCCCAGCGAGCCGACAACAGTACGTATCCTCGGTGCTTGCACCAAAAATACTTCAAGTTGAGAGGTCTCCAGATCTCAGACTCTTGCAAATGTACTGGATCCTGTCTGTACTTTTCTTCACATGCCCCATCCCCCATTCCTAGGACTAGCTCCAGTCTATTTGCCCATCATTTCTCCTTACGCATATCTCTCCATTGGCTTATCTCCATTCTTATGTTTTTCCTCCCCATCCTCCTCCCGTCCCACAGACAAGATTCTCCCACCCGTACCTCTACCTTCTTTTCCACGGCACGGATCCACAAGGCAACTTCATTCCATGCCGCCAGCTTCGGCAAAGTACGGCGCGTCCAACGGGAGGTTTGGAAACTGGCTAGGGGAGAGTTTTCCTGAGCAGGCGCTCAATGGTGGTGCCTCTTTGGGAATGCCATTTATGGAGGGTGATTTACCCGAATGCGACGAGGAGGGTGGGGGGTGGGGAAAACTGGTCTCCCAGCTCAAGTTGACCAGGAGGGGAGGCGTGGGGGGAGGGGTCACAATCGAAGCAGTGCAAGGCAGTGGGCGAGTTGGCTGGGAGGGTGGCGAAGGAGGAGTGCGTCAGCGGCGTGCTTCAAAAAGGGCCGGCAAGTTGCAACCAGTGGTAAAGAGATACTGCACTGCATGGGGTCCTCTGATTGAGTTGCAGCAATGGATTCCCGAGTTGCTGGAAGCGGGTGGTGTGAATACCGTACAGAGCAATGTCAACAAGGGGATGGAATGCTGTGGTGGTTATGCCGCGGCTGCTGCCGCTGCCGCTGCCGCTGACACTGCGGCTGCACTAATAAATGGCAGATTGCTAAACTGTTGGTGTATAATGGGTTGTTTGCTACAGCTTGAAGTCGTAGCACGGTGACACATGACAGGCGCAGTTCTCAAATATTGCGTGGCGGAAACATGGAGGTGGAATGCCTATGGTATGGTGGGGAAATCTTGTGTTGTGTTGTATTGATTCCAGGCTTTTTGTGTGTACCATGTGTGCTTTGTGCTGTGTTTGTCCTCCCTTGAAGTGCTGTTTATTTTATTCTCTATGTAACTCTTGAGCCATTTAGGTGTGTATCCAATCTGCACACAGAACATACTGGCAGTAACCAGCATAATATTCATGTAAGAGGCATCTCCAACGTCAGCTCAAAAGTAAAAGTATCGTTCAGAAAAACACTCAGGGTTACACAAATATCAGTCACACGAAACACGGTACCTGTACAAAGACCTGATTCAGTCACACACACAACCTCAACGAATCCCCAAGAAACAATGGGGAGGCCCAATGGGGAGCTCCCTGGCTAACTAGCCAGATAAGAAACACGGCATTGGAAGCGAGAAGACGAAGGCGTCGAGAAAGGCATTGCACGGATTACCTCAAGCCCAAACAAATTGAACCGTTAGATAAAATTTACGCCGACCACCAAGGATCGCTATGATGGTCGGAGGACCCTTTCTCCTGCTGAAACGCCGTTTCTCCGAGGCCGGAAGATATCGCAACGCGGTCTTCGTTTTGCAACTCGAAGGAGCCTCGCCTAGAAGTTGTCTGGTTGGCGTTAGAAACCACCTCTTGTCTCAGGCCTTCGCCTCGCCTTCTCGCCACCCCCAGATGTTGGCTGATTTGAGACGTTGAGCCGGTTCCAGGCGTAACGCCTGGAGTTAACTGGAAAGAGCCCGGTCTCTTGTTGTCCATATGAACACACAGCATCATAACATCCTGGGTCTCAGCCATTGCTGACGTGATACTTCGGCGTCCTTGTAACTTATCGGTACGGAGGCAAGCTAACTCTACAATATACACAGGAAAATGGACAGAATGACGCAGAACACGAGCTATAGGACCAGGGTTCGATAGGACAACACGTTCTTGGAAAGTGTCCTTCTCCGCATATGATCCAGCATAGGAACAGCTGCAAGAACCAAGTAGTGTCCGGTACTCTGGTGCGAGGCAACCCTACTCCTCTGCGAGAAGTCCCTCCTCATACACCAAACCAACGCCTGCGAGAAAAAAGGCAAGTGAAAAAGATCGTCGGAAGTTATGGAGCTCAAAGGCAAGACTCTCAGTTGGCTTGACCCGTTCTTCAGTCACAAGATTTAGTGGTCAGCTCAACAAGAGCACACAGCTGGGTCAGTGACACCCCTCGACAGTCTCCCACGAACCGAACAGCCGAAAATAGCTCAGCGGAATCAGGTCGTCGCCCGAGGGAGCTCGTTGCCCGCGGGCAAAAAAAATAAAACCCATTCGGGCATGCATCCGGTCAGGGAGGCATCAATCCTAAACACGGGGAGGCATGGATTTAGGGTTGATGCCTCCCTCGGATGGCATGCCATCCGATAGGGTTTTAGTTTGTTTTTCTGCCCGGGGCAGCAGGTCGTCAGGTCGTCACAGGTCGTCAGGCTTGACGACCCAATTCCGCTGAGATCTTCAGATCAGATGCACGGAACGGGAGGAACAGACGACGTGGAATGGGGTGGAATGATTCGGAGTGCGGTTGAGTGTAGTGGAACCAGGGGAACGGGAATTTTCCCCCAGAGTTGCCGCGACAAAACACCATTCAGGCCAATCAGCGGCGAGCACTCTCAAGTCAGCCTTGGCCCTGATCGGTAGCCCCCTTACTCCGAGTTGGGGGGCTTCGAGGGGGTTCACTAACTCCCCCTTCGCACGTGCGTCGGATACAATCACACCGACGTGGCTTACTCCGAGTAAGCCAAAACGGGCAAACGATCGGAGTAACGCGCACTCGGAGTACGACCCGTCGGAACCCTGCGGGATGATTCCTACAGGGGCAAACCTAACTCCGAGTAAGGCATCCCCTAACTCCAGCATTTGGGGGAGAACTTCTCGCACTACTCGGAGTAAGGTTTTGAAGGGCGAACCCATTCAATCTCCGGATTGGGTATTTTTGTTGGACGGGCCCCCCCTCATATATCAGAGTTGAAAATTTACAGCCTCTCTTCGACGGTTCAATTTGTGACCCGGTATACCCTTTGTGGAAATTTGCCTGCTTGATGGACTGTGGGGCAGTCTGGGCTGCATGCAACAGTGGTTTGGGCGATATCGCGGCCCCCACCCTCGCAACTTCCCAACGCGGAGTTACAGCAGGAGAGAGAAGCTCCCACCGACACGTGCACGCTCGTGTGAGTCGGTGTACTAACTCCGAGCATGCCAACGCGACAGAAGTTTACTCGGAGTTAGGGCTACCGATCTTGTGTCATCAGTCACGAGTCATGACCACGGATGATGGCGACTGGGATGGGGATGGGTGTGGTCGCATGCCGCAAAAGCGTCGTTTGGTTCGGGACTGGATGAGTGTTCGCGAAATAGTCGTATGGCTGAAGGTTGGTGTGTCGTATGTTGCAAAAGCTTCGTCAGGCAGTGCGAAAGTTGCTGTTTCCAAGCTTCTTGGGCGAGCCTCGAAGATTGCGGTTACGGTCTGGTATGGTGGGGGAAACGAACGGGATGATGCTACACGAACTGAATGTCAGGATGCTCCGAACCTGCCATGTGGCTCAATCGTGTGTTCAAGGTAGAGCCGGCATGTCAGAAAGTGCGGAGCGCAGACTCACTGATGAGACATGCCCTGTCATGCAGCGATCTTTCCACGTCAAGCCTATGTGTGGGTCCCTAAATTGCGCGCGGTCGATGACCAGTACAGCGTAAGCTATGGGAGAAAGAGACCCGACACAACATAAATTGTGCCTTCGAAAAAGCAAAAACACACACATACGAACGGGAACGAAGAATCCATCTTTCAGTTTGGTTCACTCGAGTACAATAGGTAAGTATAGTTATAAAGCACCTCTCAACTGTATATAGACCATGCCACACAAATACAGGAGACATAGAGCTACTAACAGGTACGGAGTGGTGACTAATCAACCTCCTAAGGTCCAACTTATAGAAGCACACCTGGAACTAGGACATTGCTGAAGCAGGCAGGATCTAGACCTGTTTATGCGAGCCCGTTAATAGGCTCCTTCATTTCTTATGACTGTCCTGTCCTGAACCGCTGCTTCTCAGCCATTATGTTCGTATCCGCGGCATCGCGGCTTGCCACGTCATCGGGAGCGAGTTCATCCTCCACATGCGACGCCGCACTGCCAGATCCGCATCAGAACTATCACAGCCATCCACCTGGCGCTGCTGACGCGGCCTGGTTCGACGATTCACACGAACCTTATCCAGTTGTAGGCCAAACCGAAGCAGCTTTAGGCGATCCTGGTCCGACCGTGCTTGATCGGAACCTAGCCTCGCAAGGGGGAATTAAGGAGCGGGTTGAAACGGAAACAAGACTGGTTGGTATAGAGGAGAGAGGTGGTGGCATGGAACGGCCGAGCCAATCAGGAAGCCTGGAAATTCGGCGAGGCGTCGAGGCGACTCGTAGCCTGGAGACTCTGGGCCAATCAGTGGGGAGTTTCGCTGGTGAACCGCATTACCCTGATCAAAGCATGAGTTTTCTGGATTTACCCCATCCGTTGATCCTGGAGGTGCTCCGGCATTTGGACGTCCACGATCTGGCGTCGTTGTCCTGCTGCTGCCGCCTGCTGCATCGCCTGGCGGGAGAATCGTGCGGTTGGATGCGGTTCTACTGCGAGCGATGGGCTCCACCTGTGATTGGTCTAGGTGGTGGGAGAGTGGAGGGAGGAAGGGAGGGAGGAGTGCAAAGCGGTGGAAGGAAAAAGGGACGAGACGGAGGAGGAAAAGAGGAAGAGGGAAGACGAGGATTGAGAAGTTCAAGCGAACCAAGCACAAGAGGGGAGAGTAGCAGTTACGCGACAACCTCAGGCGCATTACCCGCTGTCAGCGCGCCAAGACATGGAAAATTAGGACCAGTGGGAGCGGAGGAGAACGACAGAAGGGAAACGAGAGAGAGGGGTACCGATGGTGGTAGCATGGGTGCAGGTGGGGTGAATTGGAGGGAGATGTACCTGCAGCGCCAGAGGCGGTCCATGGCGTATCTCGGAAGGTTCCAGAGCGATTTCCTTGCAGGCCACACCTCCGGCGTGCGTGCTGTCAGGATGCTCACCCGACCGCCCTTCCGCTTCACCCCCTCTTACTCCCCCTCTCGCCCTCCCTCTCAACCCTTCTCACACTCCTATCCTCGTTCTCTGCTCGAGCCACCGCTGAACCCACCATTTTCTCTGGCCATTACTGCTGGTTATGACTCGACCATTCGAATCTGGTCGCTGGATGATTGGAGCAGCACTGGTTACCACCCCAGTACCACTCCCCACTCCTCCATCCATAATTACTCTGGTAGTTTCAACAACATCAGCAACAGTTACAGTTACAGCGGTGGGATCCCCATCGCCACGTCGCCGCCACTTGGCGAGACGGTACGGGCGGTGGCGGCAGGGCTGGACTTTCTGGCAGTGGGCGGCACGGACGCGGTGATCCGGATCTGGCGGGCGGCAAACGATTGTCCGTATCTGTTTGACGTGTCTGGCATGTGGAGCCACACCCAAGCAGCTAAGACCCTTGCCGCCCAGCTTGCTCACTCTGTCAGGAACGGGCCACTAGATTCAAAAGAAGCTGCTGCACCCCCTGCTGCCGATGTGCCTTCTCATGCTCGTCCTCCTTCTCCGTCTCCGTCGTTTCCCTCTCCTCCTCCACCGCATCCCCCTGCTGCTCCGTCACACCTGCCCTCGGTTCCGGTCCTGCTGCATGGACACATGGGTCCTATTACCTGTCTGGCTCTGGAAGGGGGGTACCATGCTCCAGGTTCAAACAGGTGGCAAATTCCCCGCTCCTCCTCCTCTTCCCCATTCCCAGCATTCTCTGCCGATTCCGCTTCGTCCTCCTCGCCTGTCTCGTCCCGCCGTCTCCTCTTCTCGGGGTCGTGGGATTCGACCATTCGTTGCTGGGACCTTTCGTCTTCCCTCTCTACCTCCTGCTCCTCCTCTTCATCCTCCTCCTCCTTTTCCACTTCCTTTCCAACCATCTCTTCCTTTCGCCATGCTGACTGGGTGTACTCGCTGCAACCCTGCTTCTCCCCCTCGCTCTCCTCCCCTCCCCGCCTCTTCTCCACTGCTGGTGCTGACGTGTACTGCTGGGACGTGGAGACCGGAGCGCTGCTGAAGCGACACGTGGCAGCGCACCAGGGGAAGGCGCTTGCCGTTCAAGCAAGCCTGTGCGGCCGGTTTGTCTTTTCTGGAGGGGAGGATGGGGTGGTGAGGATGTTTGATCAGAGAGTAGGAGGAAGAGGAGGAAAAGCAGGTAAAGCAGGGAGAGGAGGAGGGCAGGGAGGAGAGGGAGGTGTATGGGACGCAGTGGCAGAGTGGCATGCACACAGCAATGACGTGAATTGTCTTGCCTTTGAGGACCCATGGCTTGTTTCGGCTTCTACTGACGGCTCTTGTGCTCTTATGGACATTAGAGCGGCTGCTGCAGTAGCAGGTCGCTGTAAAGGCAGCGGATGGGCTTATAAAGGGGATCGGCTGGGGAGAAATGGAATAGGTGAGGACAAGAGGAAAGGAGGGGGGATGGCAGGATTCGGGGTTGGGAGTGGGGGATGGTGGAAAAGAGGGGGTGGAGGGGGAGGGGATAGCAAGTGGGGCTCAGGGAATGGTATCAGTAAGTGGGGGTCAGCATGGGCTATAGGGGCGAATGGGGAAATCGGCGAGATTGTGGAAGGGACCGTTGCGAGGAGATTAGGGGGGTTGAGTTCATCGGTAATGTGCGTGGATATAAAGGATGAGAGGGTGGTGTGTGGTGCTGCCAACGCTGATGTTCGGGTGTTCGACTTTAGGCATGCGTTGGTGGAAGGTGAAAGTAGGAAGGGACAAGGGAGGGGGAGGAGGGGGAAGGGAAAGGAGAAGGAAGTGAAGGATGGATGGTTTAGGTCTTGATGGTGATTATAGTGTATGATTTGTTGGGAAGTGGTTTGCCCATTTACTAGATTGAGTTGGCTCACCTACTTTGAAAAATGGTTGTATATACGTACATGCCACCCGTGGTTTTGTACGTACACTCTACCTCTGTAGAGATTTATATCAAACGGATCACTTCACGCCACGGTGTTGTTGTGGAACGTCAATAGCGCCCAGGATCACGGAGCAGCTTCGACAGTGATTGATTCTGAGCTCATCCAACGGCTCCAGCCGAACATCCTCCCGATCAAACAGCAATTTGAACTCAGCACAGGCCACAAAGCAGAGGACAAAATTCGAGGACAGGTTTTGCAGCATCGCCATCCTTGGGATGGTTTTGTTCGGGATGAGAGTCGGTTCTGCAGGTTTCAAAGGATCTAAGCGGGGTTGCAGTGCGGCTTTTTATCTTGCCCACAACCAGTTCTCAAGAATAGAACGGAGAAGCTACTAGTCTAAAAGGTCAATCCAAGTCTTGGGAGAAAAGACGCTACCGTACTTAGCTTGCTCCACCATTAGTGAGAACCAGCTCACCTTGGTCTTGAGTTAGCCACCTCAAGAGGAGAACCTGCGGAATGAGGTAGATGCGAATTGTGCCTCTTGGTTGTTGAGGACTGCAAGCAGCGATTGCTTGTGCTGATCGGCAAGCTCCGTGAGCCGTTGATGCGAGTGCGAGGGTATCCAGATTACCATGACCTTGTGACGAACTAGTCGGTCTGAGAACCATGTCCGGAATTAGAGGCCCGCGGTTTCTCAACGACGCCATTAATGAAGGACCTATGACCATCTGTGATGTTTTTCCTGCGTTGGCTTCTGATTGTTCGAAGGCATGGCTGGGTTTAGTGGTTTCCCGAATCAATCTGGACCGTTCGATGGGTCAGAATCACAGGCTTCGCGATGCTGTTTCTTCACCGAGGAGTCGCAGACCATCGGCACCGACGATCAGCCGTTACCAGTCAACGGCTACGATCGCGCGTCTTCCGCACGAGTGGATCTCCGTTTCTTGCGACGCTTGCTGGCCCTTCTGCGACTCGCTGGTGCGAAGTACGCCATCATCCTGTTACTCCTCGCGCTCGCAAACATTCCCATTGTTGCGAAAATGGGCACCGTTACAGGAACGTTCTATTTCGCCCTCGTCAATGCCAGCCCGGATGCTTTCCTCAAGACCCTCGGGAATTCCGCGATCTGGTTGACCCTGGCCGCTGTTTCCACGGCCCTCACTGATTGGTCCGCGCAGTTCCTTTGCCTGAAATGGCGGAAGACGCTGACGTCCGCCTGCCACGTGGCGTACAGGCGAAGCAGCTGGCTGTACTTCGCGCATCTCGAGAAATGCGGCACCTCCTCTGTCCATAATGCCGCTACTAATGCAAAGGACCCTTCTGTACCCGTTATAGACAACCCCGATCAAAGGATCACGGAGGACATTCACCGATTCGCGGAGCAGGTCTCATTACTGCTAAGTAGAACGGTAACCGCGCCGCTTACCGTGCTGTACTACAGCTGCTGGGTCGTGTCTTTAATCGGTCCCACGGGCCTCCTGATCATCCTCCTATTCTTCACAGTCGGTGCGGTCATAACGCGCTGCGTCATGTCTCCAGTCGCGGCGCTAGTAGCCGAGCAGGAAAGGCGGGAAGCTGAGTTCCGTATGGCGCATGTCAGAGTTAAGGAGCGATCCGAGGACATCCTTTTCTCACGCGGGGAGGACGTCGAGGCGTGCCATCTCAGCGCTAAGCACGTGGAGAGGGGCTGGCGAATCGGTGCGTGAGGGCCGTTGTGAGGACACGCGGATCACACCGTGTGGTGGCGAATTTGTGGAGCCAAGGGACTTTATGCTGCAGGAGCCGACTTGACTGATGGTGCCGAGACCAGGAAGCAACGGCACGAGAGCTGACGAGGAAGCAGCCGGCGAAGCTGACAGGATCCTGCAGTACTCCATTCACTCTGTCCCGCCCGATCTACGCTCCCTGGTAGGGACCCTGCTGCCACAATCCGGAGACGGATGGGGGAAGACGGAGATGAGGTGGGCAGCTGCACGTGTGGGCGAGGCATGGAGCATGAGTGTGGAGGATGTGATAGTAGAGGATGTGGGGATGGAAGGAGCGGAAATCGAGAAGGTGAGGATGGAAGATGTGAGAACGGAGGAGGTGAGAGTAGAGTATGGGGGGTTGGAAGGTGTGAAGAGGGGGGAGGTGAGAGTAGAGGATGTGAAGATAGTGGTGACATTTCAGTGCAGCGATGTGCCACTCTGGCCTATCCACAACAATTCATCCTCCTCTGCTGCTGGTGCTTCTGCTGCTGCGGCTGCTGCTGTATCAGAAGTTGCAAATGCAGATGGCGCCTCAGCACATGCAGGCATGAGTCCAGCAGACTCCGCCACAGCAACGCAGGCAGACGTCAGCAGGGCAATGAACCGGCTGCTCTTCAACTTCCGCCTCTTCCAGCAGCAGCTCTGTGAGCACATCTGGGCGGCCGGTCACTGGGCTGACGCTGTTGACCCCCTCACTGGCTACCTCATGCACTCTGCTTCTGGCAGCAGTGGCAGCAGCGCTGGTCGTAGTGCCGGTGGTGGTGGCAGCAGTGTTAGTGCCGAATTTGGTGCTGCTGGCAGCAGTGGTGGCGCTGAGTTTGTCAGTACTGGTATCGGTGCTGGCTGCACGTGGCCGTTCCCCTCCCCCATCAAGTACAACGAGGTGGACGTTGCCCAGATCCTCCTCGGTTATCCTGTTGCTCCCACTGCCACGGCCAGTGAAGCAGCAGCAGCTTCAATGGGCTCCACAGTGTTTCCTAATGCTGCGGCGGCAGCAGCAGCAGCAGGAGCAGCAGAACCAGCAACACCAGCAGTACCAGGACCACCACCAATGCCGTCATGCCCCCTAGTTCTCCACCCTTCATTTGGCACGCACACCTACCCAGCCTCCCTCCTCACCACCGCCCCTCTCCCTCTCCTGCAATCTGCCATCCGCCACGTGGCAGGCTCTGGTTGGCGCCTGCCAGGCTGGCAGGAGGAGGAAGGGGTCGTGGTGGTGGGACAGGGGACGGGGGATGGGAAGATGGGAGGTGTGACAGCAGCGGGGAAGGGAGCGGAGGGAGGGTGTGAGGAAGCATTGGTGGCACCTGAACCTGAACGTCTGCCTGCTTTTAAGCCTGAACCTGGACCTGAACTTGAGGTGCACCCACCATGCCACACCTGTTCCCCCTCCTCCTTCCCTCCTGCACTCTCCCTCTCCCGTCTCACTCTCACTCTCCCCCAAACAAACCACCTCATTGTCGCGAACCTCTCTCTCCATCTGCCACGTGGCAAGGCCCTACTGGTCACCGGTCCCAGCGGGTGTGGCAAAACCAGCCTCCTGCGCGCCATCGCTGGACTCTGGCCAACCAGCAGCCGCCACGTCAGCAGCAGCAGCCGCAGCAGCGTAATTTCATCTGCTGCAGCCCTCCTTCCCCCCGTGACGTTATACCCCCCTGCTGCTTCCCCCAATGTCATGTTCCTTCCCCAGAAGCCCCTTCTTGCTCCCTCCCCCTGCCTTGCTGCTCAAGTCATGTACCCTATGGAACTTGGGGGTATTCCCGAGGGTGTGTGTAGAGGCAGGAGGAGGGATGGCGGCGTAAGGACTAGGATGGAGGCTGCTCTTGCTGTGGTGGGCTTGACGCACCTGTTACCATTTCTGGAGACCATCTGTCCAGATGGACTGGTGAAATCTGAGGATCGTTTTGGCAATGAGAGGCACTGTCAGCAGCAAGGTTGTCCCAACATCAGGCCGTCTCCAGAATGGTCAGGCAACGCTCGAAGTTGGGTTGCGGGACTTTCTCCAGGGGAGCAGCAGCGGCTTCAGTTTGCAAGAGTGGTGTTTCATCGCCCGAGGTTGGTTTTCCTGGATGAGGCTACGAGTGCTGTGGATGGCGAGATGGAGGCGCGTATGTATGCCTGGCTTGCTATGGCGGGGGTTGCTATTGTTAGTGTTAGCCATAGAAGAGAATCTCTGCGGAGGTGGCACCATGCTGAGCTTGTGCTAGAGGGGGATGGAACAGGAAGGTGGAGAATAATGCAATAAGGTTGCATGTATGTATGTTAGTGCTTTCTATCCTTTTTTGGTTCCGATTTCATAGCGCAGCGTAGCGCAGTTGCTCAAACAGGGAGGTGGGTGTGGTCGTGATAATTAGCCATGATGACAGCAAGCGAGCCCTACTTTCGTAAGGCAGTGGATTGGTGAAGAAGACGGGCCAACATCATAGACATGCAAATTAGTCTGGTAACCCTATTCGATGGTATGCAAAACCGTCGATACCCCAGTTCTGCTTCGCAAATTTGTCCGGTAGCGCCACTCAAAACACTGTGTAACAGCTGACGCAGCACAAAAAGGGTGCAATGGGTGCAACAACCGAATGCGTTTTCGATTTCGTTTCATTAGTTTTTTAACGCGCTCCGTTCGGCGCCTGACAAATATTCCTGCAGACAACTATTTTGCACGATAATTTTAACAGGAAAATCCGTTAGAATGGAAGTTAACGGGGTCTTTTTCGTAACAATATATTCCACCCAATATACTGCTACCGACTACTGCTAGTGCAGGCAGGAAAAAAATAAACCCCTAGGGACCTGGACTTATTTCAGGGAGGGATCAACCCTAAAAACGGGAAAGGGCATTGTTTTTAGGGTTGATGCCTCCCCGAGTGCATCCCTTTCCGATTGGGTTTTATTTTTTTTCTGTCAAAAGAAGTGAACAGTGTTGCTCATATGGCAGAACAGTTGTCCGAATAAATAGAACTTTAGCGGAAAGATAAGCGCGTTAAAAATCAGTGTGTCCATTCAAAAGAGCCTAAATACTAGCGCAATATCTAAATAACTTCAAAACCGAGGTATCGACGGTTTTGCATACAATTGCATAGGGTTACCATACTATGTTGCATGCCAGTGATGTTGGCCCGAAGAAGACCGACAAATGAAAAGCTTGCCACGCTGGCTCCACAAACTACAGCGAGCTTTGTGAAATCCTTGATCGATTCCTCCCGAGCCGATTCCATTCCTTTTCGCCAGGCATGTTGAGCGAATCGACGTTGCTCGCCACACGTTCCACGTGGTTGACCCAATCGTAGGGTGGATGTCAACCTCGTGGACCACCATCGAGCATGCCGAGGCATTGTGACGTGGCACCGCGCCTCCTCCGAGATTGGTTGTTTGGGACAAGCGATTTCAATCAAAAGGCCGCATTCAGAATAAGAGGTAGGAAATCATCAACGGGTAATTCACGGCAGACTGATTCTGTCAGAAATACTGTGATTGGTCAGTGGAAGCAAGGAAGTCTGAGGTAGGACCTCCATAAATTACGATAACGCGGAGAAGAAGAGGACGTACGTACCTGAAGGTCGTTCATAGGTTGTCCGTTCGTATATACGTCTCGGAGTTTGGCTAAAGAAGGTTTGTCGTCGTACTATACGAAGCATAGGTCCTCCACTGGAGAAGACGTACCGAGCTCATTGCTTTCTGCTTCGTGCATAGTAGGACACATCGTTTTGCGTAGCATTGCTGAATTCAGTGATTGTTGGGCTGGGCATCCACTTGTTCACCAATCCTACAATTGCAAGTCCGCAACTTCGAAAGAACCTCTTACGGCAAACCATGGCGGCGGTTCGCTCGCTTATCTCCTCCCTCAGGCTCACTCCCGCTCCAGTTGTACCACTCAAATCATCAGCCTCCTCCCTCGTCCGCGACGAGTCGAGTTTCTTCAACCTGAACTTGAATCTCTCCGCATCATGCGCTTCAGCTAAGGGCCCTCGACGAGTCGCACCTCCTTCTGCTGCAGCGACTCCCGTCACGGCTGCTGCCGCAGCACCCACAGCGGAGGACGCGCCGTCAGTCGCGGCCGTCAGGAACGGAAGGGACGCCGCGCCGCCGCCTGAAGGTGGGGTGCCACGCGGCGCAGGGGCGGCGCGACGAGATGGAGGACCACGTGGTGGTTCTGGAGGACATAGGCGCTGGGTTCCTCTACGCCGGCGTATTTGACGGCCACGCAGGTGTGTATTTGACGGCCACCCGGTGCGCATTTGATGGCCACCCGGTGCGTTTTGACGGCCATCCAGGTATCTACTGAGTCGACGAGATGGAGGACCACGTGGTGGTTCTGGAAGACATAGGCGCTGGGTTCCTCTACGCCGGCGTATTTGACGGCCACGCAGGTGCGTATTTGACTGCCAGGAGCGTGTTGGACGGATACTGAGCGTGCAGTTTCCAAACCTTTCATTTCTGCTTTTCTGGGAAGCTTCCGATACTTAAGATTTGAGCGTGTGAGTTGACTTCGGAGCGCGTGTTTGTCGCACGTGCAGGCGCGTCTTCCGCGAAGTTTCTGAGCGACGAGCTGCACGACGACTGCATGGAGGCACTGGAGGGCGGCGCGGTGTTGGAGGACGAGGACCTGACGGCCGCGGAGGACGCGCTCGAAGATGCTTTCCTTAAAGCCGACCAACGGCTGCTGCAGTGGTGAGCGGGTGTGCTTGGCGGGGGTTGACTGAGTGTATGGTGAGGTTATGGAGGCGCTGGAGGGCGGCGCGGTGTTTGGAGGACGAGGACCTGACTGCTGCGGAGGACGCGCTCGAAGACGGCGTTTCTCAAGGCTGATCAACGGCTCCTACAGGGGCTTGGTGGTGTGGGTGCGTTTTGTTGGTGCGTTTTGTATGGTGTGGGTGTGCTCTGTTGTGTGCTGGCACTGGAGGGCGGTGCGGTGTTGGAGGACGAGGACCTGACGGCTGCGGAGGACGCGCGTTTCTCAAGGCTGATCAACGGCTGCTGGCGGTGGTAAGAGGGCTTGGTGGTGTGGGTGTGCTTGGTGGGTGTGTTTGGTTGGGTGCGTTTGTATGGTGTGCTTGTTGTGTGCTGGCACTGGAAGGCGGTGCGGTGTTGGAGGACGAGGAGCTGACGGCCGCGGAAACGCCGCGAGGATGCTTTTTCTTAAAGCCGACCAGCGCCTGCTGCAGTGGTGAGTATTACTCGCCTCAATTATTACTTACCTCGCCTAGAGAATTACTCGCCGCGACTTGAGTATTACTTGCCTGGATTGTTGCTCGCCTCGAGCATTACTCGCTTACTTGCCTCGACTTGAGTATTGCTCCCCTCGCACATATCCCCTTCCCCCTTTCCTTCTGTTCTCTCCCTCCCCTCCTACATTCCTCTCCCCTCGCGCGTGTCCCCTCTCCCTCCCCACCCCTACACTCCCTCCTGCATAGTCCCCCCCAGGCTGGAGGAGCACAGTTCTGAGCCTGAGTCGGGGTCGACGGGTACAGAGGCGTTTGTGTGTCACTTTTCAGTCGAATCTCCCGCCGCCGATTCCCCCGCCTCTCGCAACCCCAACACCCCAGGCTGGAGGAGCACAGTTCTGAGCCCGAGTCTGGTTCAACGGGCACGTAGCGTTCGTGCGGCACGACCGCCTGTTCGTAGGCGCACATAGGCGACTCGCGCGCCCGTGATGGCTGTTGGGGGGGGCGACGAGGGATACATCTCGGACGACCATAAGCCCAGCGGCGACTCGGGCAAGGCGCAGGCGGAGATTAAGAGGATCAACAAGGCGGGCGGATGGGTGCGTTGTTTTTTTTTTTTTTTTTTTTTTTTTTTAGCATATTGGAAAGGCAACCAACTGGGGGAAGGTTGCGGGAGAGGTTAAGAAGATCAACAGAGCAGGCGGATGGGTGAGTGAATCGATTAGGTGGAGATAAGGAGCAAGTGGAAAAGGAGCAGGAGGAGATTAAGAGGAGCAACAAGGCCGGCGGATGGGTGAGTGGGTGGGTGCTGAGTCACTTGTGCGTAACTGTTGAGACGTTATTCCTATCTTTCCCATGTCCACCCTATCTCTCCCCCAATCCACCCAATCTTCCTCCCAACGGACCCTGTCTCTCTCCCTGTCCATCCTATCTCTCCCCGAATTCACCTTATCTTTCCCCCTATCCACATGCCCACCCTTTTCCTCACCCACCGCCCCATACGCAGGTGAGCCAAGTGCGGATGGTGTGGCGTGATTGGCGTGTTCTGATCCTATTATGAGACGCTTCAAACGTATTTTCTCCCCAACCTACCTTGATTTTTCCCAAACACTTTCCATCTTACCCTCCCACCCACCTCCCTTGTTGGTTCACCCGATGTGCAGGTGAGCCAAGGGCGGATGTGTGGCGTGGTGGCCGTGTCCCGAGCCTTTTCCGGGCCTCCTTCATTATACGTTCCACCTTCTCTTTTATGTTCTCCCCACCCGTCCCTGTAACTTCCCTCATCATTCATCCCATACGCAGGTGAGCCAAGGGCGGGTGTGTGGCGTGATTGCTGTGTCCCGAGCGTTTGGCAACGTGCTTTCAAGACGAGAAAAGAGGAGTGAGTCGTGGCAGAAGAGAAAAGAGGAGTGAGTCGTGCAGTAGAGGAAAAGAGGAGTGAGTCGTGCAGTAGAGAAAGAGGAGGAGTCGTGCAGAAGAGGAGTGACAAGAGGAGTGGAGTCGTGCCAAAGAGAAAAGAGGAGTGAGTCGTGCAGTAGA